GAAGAAGAAGAAGAAGAAGAAGAAGAAGAAGAAGAAGAAGAAGAAGAAGAAGAAGAAGAAGAAGAAGAAGAAGAAGAAGAAGAAGAAGAAGAAGAAGAAGAAGAAGAAGAAGAAGAAGAAGAAGAAGAAGAAGAAGAAGAAGAAGAAGAAGAAGAAGAAGAAGAAGAAGAAGAAAGAAGAAGAAGAAGAAGAAGAAGAAGAAGAAGAAGAAGAAGAAGAAGAAGAAGAAGAAGAAGAAGAAGAAGAAGAAGAAGAAGAAGAAGAAGAAGAAGAAGAAGAAGAAGAAGAAGAAGAAGAAGAAGAAGAAGAAGAAGAAGAAGAAGAAGAAGAAGAAGAAGAAGAAGAAGAAGAAGAAGAAGAAGAAGAAGAAGAAGAAGAAGAAGAAGAAGAAGAAGAAGAAGAAGAAGAAGAAGAAGAAGAAGAAGAATACAAAAACAGAAAGGAATGGTAAAAGAAGACGAGGAGGGGGAGAAGAAAAATAATGAATTGCAAAAAAGAATAACATTACTGAAGAAGAAAGAAAGAAAGAAAGAAAAATGAATATAATGGTAAGAAGAATTAAAAAGAAGAGGAAAATGAAGACGTGGAGAAAAAAGAAATAATGAATTGTGAAAAAGAATATTTTTACCGAAGAAGAAGAAAAAGAAGTAGAAAAAGAAAAGGAAGAAGAAAGAAAGAAAGAAATAATACTACAATGGGAAGTGGAAGAAGAAGGAAAAGAATAAGAGGAAGAGGTGGAAGAGCAGGAGGAAGGAAGATATAATGAATCGTTAAGAAGTAGAATTTTACCGAAGAAGAAAGAAAGAAAGAAAGAAAGAAAGAAAGAAAGAAAGAAAGAAAAAGAAAAAAAGAAAATACTAAAATAGAATGAAGAAGAATTAGGAGGAGGAGGTGGAGGTAGAGAGAAAATGAAGAAATAATAAATTGTGAAAAGAATAATTTTACTGAAGAAGAAATAAGATGAAGAAGAAGAAGAAGAAGAAAAAAGAAGAACAACAAAAGATGTGATGTGGTCAAAAGGCAGAAAAATGAAAACTATAAAAGTGCATAAGCAATTAAACATGAAAAAAACATCTGTTGATAGATAAAAAGAAACAATAGACGAAAGAAGAAGAAGAAGAAGAAGAAGAAGAAGAAGAAGAAGAAGAAGAAGAAGAAGAAGAAGATGAGAAAGATGCAGAGTAAAAAATGGAATTGTGAAAACACGGATGAAGATACCAGGCCAAAAATAATTCGAGGAAAACTAGCAATTTTGAGAAAGAAACTTATGAAATCGACAAGGTGAATAAGGACACGAAAAAATAAACGTTCTCCTCAAAGAAACAAAAAAAATCCTTTTGCACTTGAACGTTTAAGAGTAAGTTAGTACATTGCCGTTGTTAAAGCGTAAAAACTTGTACGCATGCGCACTGCCGTGCCAACATTTCTCTGCGGTTTAAAAGGTCAGACAGAACTCACCTAAGGCCGCTGTAGAGCTTCTATTGGCTTTTTATTTTGGTTTTCTCCGTTTTAATAGCTCCGAATTCTTTCCTCTCTTTTTTATTTTCCTGTACTTATATTAACTTTTTCTTATATTTCACTTAATTTCATTCATGTGTGTATATTGTGACTTTTATTTTCTTCTTTTAGTATTTATCTAGGTCTTTATTCGTTTTACTATCTTGATTTGTTATTTAGAAAACATGCGTACAAGTTTCTCTTAGATATTTGCCATTTTTTGTTATTATTCTTTTTTCTACGTGACGCAGACTTTTCCTTTTCATTTTTGTTTCTCTTCTTCAAGTTCAATATTTTTCGTTTATTTTTTTTTTTTGGCTTGGAATTATATTTCTAACTGGTTTCTTTCCCTTCGTTAAAAATTCTTCATTTTCTTTCATCTTCATCTTCTGTTTATTTCGGTCTTTCTACGTTTTATATTTTTATTCATTCATTCATTGCTTCTAGAAAAGTTAGAATTTTTTATGTTCCTTTTTCAGTTGTTCAAATTTCATTTAGTTTTAATTTTTAAAATACATTTTCTTTATTCTTTTTAATTTTTTTTTGTTTAATTTTTAATCCTTTTTAGTTTCATTTTCCATACACTAATAGCTAGCGTTTCGTCTTTCAATAGACTTGTTAAACGATTTTTTTTTTTTTCATTCTTTTAATTTTGTTTTTATTCTTTTTTTTCTTGTGTTTTCACAACACTTCTTTCTTTCTTTCTCTTGATTTCTCCCATTACAAGAAACCCCATTATTTTTTTTTTTCATTTTCTGTAATTTTTCTTCTTTTCGCAACTCTTACGTTTCTTTCATTATTCAAAACTTCTTACTTTCTTTTTTTCTCATAAATCTTTCGATTCTTTTTTTCAGTCATGACTCATACTCTCTTTCTTGCTTGCTTTCTTTCACAATATACTCGAATTGTTTCTTTTGGCTCAATCTTAATTTGGTTTCTTTATTTTTCTTTCTTTCTTTTACAACAGACTTTCTGTTTAGAATCTGTAATTTTATTTTTTCTGAACTCATTCATTTTGGGGTATAACTATTTTCTTTCTTTCTTTCTATCTGTCTGTCTGTCTAATCTCTTTAATTCCTTTTTTTTCTTTTACAGAACTCATAGAATTATTATATATCTCTCGGTGATTTCTTTCACATTTTTTCTTCATTTCGTTCGTTCTTTCTTTCTTTCTTTCTTTCTTTCAGTGACGATTCTAAATTCGTTTATTCTTTTACAGAATTCATACCCTTACATATATGTCTCCCGCTGATTTCTTTCATAACATTTCTTTCTTTATTTCGTTCGTCCTTACGTTTTTTTTCTTTCTTTCGTTCTTTTTTCCTTTCTTTCTGACAGCCTAGATTCTAAATTCCTTTTTTCTTTTACAGAACTCATTATTTAAATATCATACAGTGCTTTCTTTCTTGACACTGCTTTCTTTTACAACATTTTCTCTTATTCATTCTTTCGTTCTTTCTTTCTTTCTTTCAAAAATCATAATTTCTTTCTGTTTCGAATCACAACTCGAGATTTTTTTTTCATCACAGGTCCTTTCTCTTTCCTTATTTCTTTCTTTCTATCAATTATTACATTTATATATGTTTTCCAAAATTACTTTTAACTTTTTCTCTTGTGTTTAAATCGTATTTCTTTCTATGTCATCACGATTGTACCACTCTTCTCCCCTTCATTTCTCTCCCCTTATAACACCTCCACCTGTTTCCATCATTCTCACCAATCAAGTCTGTTCGAGTCATTCAGGGCATGACCTCACCAACCCTGGCAGCTGGAAAGAGATTCAGATTCAAGTTTATTAAAGAAAGCGAAACAGGGGAAATAATGTGCCGAGTTCACCAGGTACAACTTGCGGGCATTCTTTAAGGAACTAAGCCTAGCTGAATGAGGCAATCACGTGCACTTTCACAAAAGGGCGCGCTCTATCTTCGACACGGCAATTTCCAGGTTTACCGATGACATATACAGGTGCTAATAACTATCAATACCGTGATGTAGTAAAGAAAAAATTCAATACTTATACAATTTTGCTAGACCATACCTATAGATCGCTGATAATAGATTATTTTTACCACCTGCACACAGGTATCGATGTATATATAAATATATATTAATAAAAAGAATTGAAAAGACGAAAACTTATTTTTACAATGCGTTTATTTCCTTGAGGAATTTATCATACGCAAATGTTGAGAAAAATTGAGGTTTAATATTATTTAACAGACTGTACAAATCGCTGGTAGTCGCCGTATGGATACGAAACGTGAACACTGTTGGTAGATACAGAGAGAAAGATCCAAGCATTTGAGAACAAATGTATGAGAAAACTCCTTGGCATCTTCTATTGGGGACATAAAACCGATGAGTTTGTGCTAAAAAGGTATTGTGGGCCACCAGGAACTTCTTGCCACTGTCAAACGGAGAAAAATGGCGTGGTGTGGACACGTTACAAGCCACGGCAGCCTGTGCAAGACGATCATGCAAGGAACCATTGAAGGTGGACGTAGGAGAGGACGCCAACCCAAAAACTGGTTGGACAATGTCAAACAATGAACAAGTATGACACCACCAGAATTGTTGATAGACCGTTGAGGAGGAGATTCAGTGCGGCTTCTGCATTGGGACCCCTCCCCTACGAAAACAAAAGTCAGGGGATTATTATTATTATTATTATTAATAATAATAATATTTAACATTTCACGCTTATTGGAAACATTCCCAACACAATTGAATTGTATATTTTTACAACTATCACTTTCCGAAAATATATATAAGTTTCCTTGTAATTCCTATTTTCTCTAAATTTCCCACGTTGTTCACATGTCCTGTCCATGGAATTCTCAGCATCCTTTGGTAGAACCACGATTCTGTCGCTTCGGATCTCCTTTTTCAGCTGTGAGGAAATTGCGCAGTATTAATTGCCGTCAACAGGAATTGATATTAAAAAGTAGTTAAGCCGTCTTTTAGTGTAACAACATTTCCCTTACTCTTAATAACTTTCTTAGTTTCTGGAAGGCACCTTCCTCTGTTTTTATACGCTTTCAGACATCTGTATCACATTTCCTGCAGTCTAGTATTGCACTACCAGTTACAAGTTTATATCTGATTCATTCTGACGTCAACATTTCGTAGCTCTCATCTTGGGCTGTCTCTATTGCGACAAAAAATATATTATGTCTTCTTACTCTTAATGGTTAGTTCTTTGTTTAGGCTTACATACTGGAAAATAGTCCTTTGTTTAGGCTTTTCTATTAGAAAATAGTCCTTTGATTAAGCTTTCCTATTGGAAAACAGTTAGTCCTTTGTTTAGGCTTTTCTTTTAGAAAATAGTCCTTTATTTAAGCTTTCCTATTGGAAAATAGTTAGTCCTTTGTTTAGGCTTTTCTTTTAGAAAATACTCCTTTATTTAAGCTTTCCGATTGGAAATTTTTACCGATTTGATGACATATAAGACTCATTTTTGTTATATATTATTGTTTTATAATTTACGATTTAATTTACAGGTTTACGGTGATATCACGTGGAAACAACGTTTCTCGTACGATCACCGAAGTTAAAAACGGCGTGCCTGGTCTGTACTTGGATGGGTGACTCCTTGGGAATATCAGGTGATGTAATCTTAGATTTGCGGGTTGTGTAACGGATAAAAATTCGGAAATGAAAATCTTAAAAAGTGAAATTCATATTCAGCAACCTCGTAGGACTCTTTGAACAATATTGATAATTCTTTGATAATTATTTATTTATTTATTTTTAATTTTTCATCTGGGAATTTAACTATATTGTCGACATGGAAAATAATAATAATAATAATAATAATAATAATAATAATAATAATCCCTTACTATAAAGATAATTTACATTAACCAGAAAAAAAGGCTTAGACAGAAGCGTCTATCTTTTAAAATTTTGATTTTTAATGTAACTATAACAACAAAAACATTTCGATTTCATTTTTGCCTTGAAAAAGTCGGAAGACGAAACGCGTCGGCAAAATGTAAGATTTTTTCCAATTGTCTTTTGATACCATCTGGTAATTTAACTATATATATATATATATATATATCATATGTAATAACGTCACTTGGTGGACTAGAAGATCATTCACAGAGATGTATGAGGAGAGCTCGTCAAGTACTTAACTACGCACTAGCGAAACAATTACAATTGGTTATATGACTTTTATGAATTTAGTTTCTAATGATGTTCATACCAATTCCCCTATTTTAAAGGTAAATTGATTGTTTGTTGGTTTGTTTATTTGATTGACGGTATATCAACCCCCTATGTGTCATTTAATGCCAAAATTTCATTTTCGTGGGAGCATTAGTAATTTAATTTAGAAAAATTTATTGTTGGTAATTGTTTTTAATGCATTGCTGGTAATATTTTAAAAATATATTTCTAGTTATATTCATTTTTTTTAATATGAAAATATATAGCTGGGATTTTTACTATAAATATATATTTTTACACTTTCATATATTTTGACAACGCTATAGCTGTTAACTATTTGCTTATAGTTTTGGCCTAAAATTTGCTACCACCCCGGGTCTGGGTGGACCTGTGAATAACAACAATTAAAAGGTGGCTGCACGACCCTGAAAAAAACTCCCGATACGAAGCTGCCGGATGTAGTTTTTCGTCATACCCAGGACGGTTGTAGAGTGATAAAATATAGATCGCGGCAAAGAAAAAATAATAGAATTCAAATAACATATGGTCTTATTATCACGATTATCCAACTGTTGATGATAATTCAGGTGCAGGTCTGACCAAAGAGTTGATAATGGTTTAAAAGAGAATTTGTCAGGCCCAAGCCAATTCGTAAAGATAAAAGTAGAATATGCGATCGTTATTATTGTAAAGCACTTCCTGATAGTATTGCTAATCACGTTCTCATTACCACGTTTTTATAGCACGAGCACCACGACGACCCTCCAAAATGTCGATGTAGATGACCTAATATCCATTCTCAAAGTAGTAACTACTACTTCAAAATATGAAGATTGCATGAAACATTTGTTTTCGAGAATTATTTATACTGCCTATATTAATAAGACATACTAATTACATTTAATACAAAAGAATACAAATATTTCATAAATATAGGGAAAAAAAAAACATAAAAAAAGATTTCATATCCAAAATAAAAAATAAAAAAATAAAACGACCCGACAGCACAGACTGCAACGAGAAAACGCTAAAAAAGCTGACCTGAAGCGTAAAGACGATATTTGAGAAACAATGAAACAGACAGAGCTCAAAACAAACAATTCTTTAATAAAAAAGACGAAAGTACGCAGATATTGAGTAATATATAAACTCTCACCAGAAACCAAGGAAATGGTTTTGAATAACGAAAACAGAAACAAAAATCATTCATAAGGGTTTTTTAAGGAAACTGTATAGCTGAAAAATAATTACCCAAATACTTCCAGCATATATATATATATATATATATATATATATATATGAAAAGATTCTTACAGGTACAAATTTTTATAATGGCAAGGAATAAGCGGAATGTAAAGGACATAATTATGAAAACTAAGAACTAAAACAAACAACCGGTTTTGTCCCAGTACTCCTCAAGTTTGATACACTGGGATTATTTAATCATAAACTTAAAAACAAAAAAAAACATTCAATGAGGGGGGAAAGGGGAAAAAAAAAATTGACTGTTTTTCCATTCTGGCGAAGTCACACTCTGCATATCATTTGAAGGTGCTTGAGTCCATTTACATCAAGTCCCGCAGGCCGTTTCTCTGTAAGCAGAGATATTGCTTGTTGGGGTTGAATGTGATTGGGCTCTAGTTCTTTCTATCATATATAATTTTTTTCCCCTTAAAGTGGTCTGTTTTTTATTCAAACATATTTGCTCTGAATTTACATTGAGCTCTCCGGATATCATCCTCCTTGTGTCTACCCGTACGGATTACCTAGTTTTGCATAAACTACATATATATATATATATATATATATATATATGCATATAAACATTTGTACACCTCTGTCAATGTAAACATGACAACTATGCAAAATTGCCTTTTATCTTCTCTCTCTCTCTCTCTCTTTCACTCTCTCTCTCTCTAAAGTGTGTTTCATTAAGACAGATTATATATTAGAGTGTTTCATTAAGACGGATCAAAGTTAGCAGTAAATAAATCAGCGTAATTGGTGAAAATTTATTTATTTCTATATTGCATCATGTTATTTAATTCATGGCAATTATGTTTGAAAAATAATATTGCCCAAATGTCCGCCAAATCTGAAAGAAAAAGAAAAAATAATCAATAGACGCTTAAGCTTAATTAACATTTATATTCGCTCCAAGTTATTGGAACACTCTTTTTATATGATAAAAATAATGTTTTAAGATAAACTATATTTATGGGTAAAAGTGACCAGGGATAGAGCATATGTAAATATAAAAGTAGGCATAGATATTATGACCGAGTGGTGAGAGTATGGTGATTTTCTAAGCACAATTTAGATGTGGCCCAACAAGGCCGAAAAAATGGGTCACCCAGTGAGAATCGAACTCACTACGCAATCGTAGATCTAGCTAGATATACTTACTAACCATTACACCACGTTGAAGGACACAAAATGATTTTCTCAGCATAGCTTAGTGGCACACGGCCGAATGTGTGGAGCACACAGTGAGGATCGAACTCACTATTTAGTCGTAGATTCAGCGAGGCAGGCTTGCTAAACATTACACCACATCGAAGTGGCCAAATACTGATTTTCTAAGTGTAGCTTTGATGTGGCACAAGGCAGAAAGTAGTGGGCACCTAGTGGTTTTTCGATTGTCATAATTGTTCTAGCGAGGCAAACTTGCGAACCACTACACCGCCTCGAGGTGTAATGTCCTATTGATTTTCTAAGCCTAAATTAGATATGGCACAAGGCCGAACGTATGGGGTACCCAGTGAGGACTCACTATTCGCTATTTCGAACTCACTATACAGTCGTAATTATTTTAGCGAGACAAGTTTACTAATCGTTACACCACTCCGAGGTGCCCAAATGGTTATTTTTTAAGCGTAGGTTAGATTTGGCACAAGGCCAAAAGTATAGAGCACCTACTAAGGGTTGAACTCACAAGCTTACTAACCACGAGGTGTGTAAGTGCTGAGAGTATGTTTCATACTTGAACGAAATTATCGACTGAAGATTGCTTTCAATCATTAAATAGACGGTGGCCGCACGGTGTCGACCGCATTGCTCACTTTAAACACACACACACACACATATATATATATATATATATATATATATATATATATATATATATATATATATATATATATTAATAATAATAAAATTACATTTTTTTTTCCTCACCAGAAGCACCATTTTGAGTTTCATGTGTAATACTGGTTGAAAAGGAAATTGAAAATTTTTCACCACCTGACAATTGCATCGGGCATAAAACTCAGAGTCGTGTTGCCGGTGAGGAAAAACAGATTTTTATTAATAATATAAATTATAGCTGGTAATATATATCGGGTACTATTTTATTAGCACAGCCACATTATTTGCGATATTTTATGTAGCGAAGGAATCATATTTTTTAAAAATAATTATAATATATATATATATATATATATATATATATATATATACTTGTGTATTTAAGTATCAATCCTTCCTTTATGCATGTTTCATTCCATATGACAGATAAGCTGCTTTGATTTAATATTTTATTCAATTTCTCATATGATCTTATAATTCTTTTCTTTTCCGTAGATAAATTACATAAAAACTGTCCAATTGTTCTTTCTTTCCGAGCGCTTTCGGCGATACATTTAGCCATTTTCAAGGTTGAAATATATTAACTTTTAACAAGGATTAGATTGTTGTATGTATGCATGTATTTATGTAATATTTTCATTTTCAAAACACTGTCAAGATATTGTGCCCATGTTCAATGTTGATATTACTGAGTGTTAAATTTTTCTTTTGGTTTTATAAATAAGGCTTACATTATTTTAGCCTTTTTTACATGTAGACGATGCTATTATATTTTTGTTATCAACAAGTATGTTACAAATAGGGTCTAGTAGGTCTACATGATTATTTAAATGAGATCTAATTGAGCTATAGCCTGAAAGATGTAGTGTGAGTCTTCTTGTCAAACATGTTGTAGTTTGGTTAATATAAAGAATTGTTTACGCATTTTGATTGATCAGGAATACAATTCCTTAATGGACATTTTATTTCGTAAATAATATTTGTTATATTTAATTTTGTTCTTGTCTGTCATATTCAATGAAAAGTGTATATATATGTATATATATATGTATGTGTGTGTATTTTATTACTTTTTATATATATATATATATATATATATATATATATATATATATATATACACAAACACACACTTATATATATGCGTATGTGTGTACATGTATGCATGTATATAACATAATTATTTAGATATTTTAAGCGTAATTAGTGCAGAAAGGTTAAATTTAAAATGGTGTATGCATATAAAATATATCTGCTCGGCCTGGAGGTTAGGATCAAAGTGTAGTACGCTGCCTTTGTGAGCTTCCGAGTCGGCGTCTGTCGAACTCTCTGCGTTAGCAGAGAGGAACAGACAA